AGGATTTGGCTCGGGGGCGGGGGCGTCCTGCCCCCACGGAACTTGCCCAGATGGTTTCGGGCTCGGCCGACGGATCAACTCGCTGCCAAGCCGGCCGAGAAAATATTTGATGAGCAAATAGTGGGGCCAGGAGTCTCTCCTGCGGCCCCGGGTGCCCAGCAATTGACCCTCGTTACTGCCCCTCCAACCGCCCCTCCCGCCAGGGTTCTCCGCCGAACAGACTGCCTCTCAGGCGACCATCTGGCCCCAATTACACATTAACCACAGAGCCCTCCCGCCTCGCCATCCCCGACGGCCGCCAAGAATCGCAGCGCCTCCCAGTCTCTCTCTCGCCCTGGAGCCACCCGGGTGCGAAGGGGAGGTTGAGGCCGGAACGGTGCTCGAGCTCTGGAGCCTCCCACGCTTCCTTTGCCCAGGGGGCAGCGGAGGAGCAGATCAACGTGGGAGCCCGGTGCGCGCAAGGATGCTCAGAGCGGTTAGCAACCGCCCAGACCGGCTTCTCCCTCGCCTGTCGGGGGACCAATTTGCTGTGGCCTTCAGCCTCCGTTGCCTCCCTCAGGGGAGCTGAGCCTGCGCCGAATCCAAGCCGGAGCTGTCGGTGGCAGCATCCCCTCTCCCCGGGTGGGATCTGAAATCCCGGGCGGGAGTTGAGGCTTCTCCAGGGCGCACAGCAGGAGGCGCCTCCCGGCTTCCCTTTCTCGGAATGGCGGGCTGGGCCAAGCTGGACAGTGGAACCCATACCTAGCAGACAGTGCCCCCCCCCGCTGAGGCAGGCCTTCCCAGCTGGGCTGTAGCGTTAGACTTAAGGGCAGCTCAGCTCCCCTTCTGCCAGCCTCTTTAGGTGGCAGCCGGGGAAAGATGCGCGCTCTCTGATGAGCAAACTCGGGCGGGTGGCTCTCCTGGAGGATTCCTGGCAGGGAAAAGTGGGCGGAATCTGGCAGGTAGAGAGGAGTGGATGCAGCAGGAGGGAATGCAGTGAATGCGGAATTCGGCAGGTACAGACTTCGGAAACCAGCAGAGAACTGAGAGGGAGTCTGGGAGCCGAAAGAAGGAAGAGGGAGAGGCGGCTGGCCGAGTCCAGGCTTTCGGGATCGTGCGAGCAGGGCAAGCGTTGCCTGTGGAGACCCAAGGGGTGCACTCTGTTCGAGGAGGGGAAAGACAACCCCCCTTCTCAGCAGTTAGTGTGTACAGCTGCAATTGTGTCCTTTGGGGTCTTCCTGAGGGAACGGAGCCTGGGCTGTCTGGGAGTGGAGGGATTCCCGAGGGGACTCCAGCCGGCGGAGTCTCACACGTGAGATTTGCAGCCACAAGCGGTAGGAAAGGCCAGCAAGCTGGGGGGAAAAGCTACCCTCCAAGTGACCCACTCTCTCTGGAGACTTCCCATTGACTGGGTAACGTGAACGGCTGGAGTCCACTTAATCCTGATCCAGCTGTAGCATTCTTAGTTCCCCAGAGAGACAGTTACATCGCTGGGCAGATCTTACTAGCGGGAACTTTTTCCTTGGGCTGCAAGTCTGGTCCAGATGCTGTTGCCCTCGAGGGTCAGCAACCGATACCTAAGTGAAGCGGGTGTGTCTGTGACTGTGTCTCTCTCTCTCTCTGTGTGTGTGTGTGTGTCTTGCTTGCCCTCCTTGCAGGCGCTTCCTGACCACTGAGAGAGGAGAAATTTGCCGGGAGGGTGCCTTTGCCCTCCTCCCTCCCAGCACCCTTGGAAGCTCTTTGGGCGCCAGCTTGGGGGGGAGGAGAAGACTTCGCTTGCGTGAGTCTGCCTGAAAAGCGCTGAAGCTGCGTAAAGAATGAGCGGAAGAGGAGCCGCGCAGTGCCTCTCTGGTTGATTTGGTTCGGTGCTCTGAGAATCTGGGCGGGGGGGGAGGGAAATGGCTGCCCCCAGCTCTGGGCAGAGTCTCACCAGAGCGGGGACGTTGGCCGCCCGAAAGCCAGAATGGAAGAATTCCCAACTGTCTCAGTGGAGCTGGACCTGAGGGAGCCGCCCTCCCCGCGCGCGTGCGGAAAAAGCTTATCTTCCTTCCTCTGGCCCAGTTGTGCCAGCGGCCGTTGCCCCGGATCCAGGAGAGGGGAAACGGCGCTGCCTTCGGAGGCACCAAGACCCCCCCTCAGCCTTGCTCTTCCCACACAGTCAAAACTGGCTGCGGGGGAAGGGGGGAAATCCCGGCAACGCCACTTGGGCTGCGTATAAAAGCGCCCCTTTCTGTTGGCCCAGCATCGCCTCGCGCCTCCTTTTCAGAACGGGCGGCCCACACCTGTCCCCCCGCCCCAGTTCTCTTAGGAGCCATAACTTTGGAGGCGGGCCTCTAAGCCGGCCCCCTTTCAATCCGCCCCAGCTTGCCCTCCAGCCAGGGAGTGCTTATGTGTCGAAGGACGGTTCTAGCCACCGGCTTCCCCGGCCGGCCTCCCCTGGCCCCGACGGGACCTGCTGAACTGGACAAGAAGCCAGAGAAGTCTGTCCGGCTTGCGGCTCCCGTTTCCCACTCTCGCGCGCGATTCTGAAACCAGCAGCGTTTGGATTTGGCGTCGCAGGACTCCGGCTCCCCCGGCGGGAACTTGCCTTGGGGTCGGTCTCGATTCCGCAGCCCAGCAAGCACGGAGGCGGTTGGGCTCTAAGAAAGGAGGCGAGTCGGGGCAAAGCCTCCTGTGCGCTGCGCTCCAGTCCTTCGGATCCCTCCAGATGCTCTCGGCCACGCTCCCCGTGGCCAGGCCACTGCGTCCCGGAGGGCAGCAGCCTCGTTTGGGGGAGGCGTTCGGGATTGTTCCCGAGGGGCGCTTCGGCACGAAGGAAGAGCTGAAGGAGCGTGCGGGATCCCCAAGTCGCCACCGTGACCGCAGCAGGGAATGTGGGCGGCGGGCAGCCCGGTGGGCGACCGGCCTCTCAACGGACGGAGAGAGTCCCCCAACCGTTGCCCCTCCCATGCCCGGCGAGACAGCACGAAAGAGGGCCAGAGCAGCTGACCTTTGCCTCCTCACTCCCCCCCCCC